CGAAATCCCGACCTCAGGTGATCCAATTGCCTCAGCCTTCCAAAGTGCTGGGATTACAGGCATGAGACACCATGCCTGGCTATTTTTTTTTTTTTTTTTTTTTTTTTTTGAATTCTTAGTAGAGACAGGGTTTCACCATGTTGGCCAGGCTGGTCTTGAACTCTTGACCTCAGGTGATCCTCCTGCCTCAGCCTCCGAAAGTGCTGGATTATAGGCATGAGCCACTGTGTCTGGCCAAGAAGAAAACTTCTAAAAATACATTTCCTGACTTCAAAACTTATTATAGAGTTACAGTTATCAAGATATGGTATTGGTATGAAGATAGACAAATGAATCGTTGGGGGAAAAAAGAGTGTAAAAATACCACATATATGGTAAACAAAAGTACAAAAGTACAAAAATGATTTTATAGATAAAGGATAATCTTTTTAACAATGCGAAAACACTGGCCATCCATAGGCAAAAATATTAACTTTGATCCATACCTCATACTGTGTACAAAAACTAAAAATGTGTTATAGACCTAAATGTAAAACCTAAAACTATAAAACTCCTAGAAGAAAATACAGGAGAAAATCTTTATGACCTTAGATTAGAACAACAAAAGCACAATCAATAAGAGAAAAAAAAATGATAAATCGCAGTTAATTGCAATTAAGAATTTCTGTTCTTTGAAAGACACTGTTAAGAGAATGATAAAGTTACAGACTGGGAGAAAGTATCGGCAAATCACCTGTCTAATAAAGGACTTGTATAGAATATGGAATGAAGTCACAAAACAACAATAAGAAAAACATTTCCCCAGTTAAAAAATATGCAAATGATTAGGGCAGACATTACATAAAAAAACACATTGGTGAATAAGCACATTAAAATTGCTCAACATCATTAGTCATGAGGGAAATTCAAATTAAAAACACAAAGAGATACCACTATACACTTACTAGAATGTATACAATTAAAAACAGGACTGGGTGTGGTAGTTCACACCTGTAATCTCAGCACTTTGGGAGGCCAAGGTGGGAGGATCACTTGAACCCAAAATTTCGAGACCAGCCTGGGCAACAGAGTGATGTCTTATCTCTACAAAACATAGAAAAAATTAGTCTGGTGTGGTGGCATGTGCCTGTAGTCCCAGCTAATTGGGAGGCTGAAGTGGGAGGATCACTTAACACCAGGAAGCCGAGGCTGTAGTGAGACATGATCACACCATTTCATTGCAGCCTGGATGACAGAGTAAGACCCCTGTCTCAAAATAAATAAATAAGTAAATAAAAATAGAAAAATAAATAAAGCAAGTTAATTTAATTAAAATCACTGACCATACCAACTGTTGGTGAGGATATAGAGCAATGGAATTCTCATACACTACTGGTAGGAATATAAAATGGTACAACCAATTGGAAAACAATTTGCCAGTTTCTTAAAAAGTTAAACATATACCTACCTAATGACCCACTCATTCTACTCCCAGGAGAAATATAAGTAGAGATGGTCTTCAACTTATAATGTGGTTACATCCCAATAAACTCATCATAAGTTGAAAATATCATAAGTTGAAAAAGCATTTAATACACCTAACATACCAAACACCATAGCTTAGTCTTGCCTACCTGAAACGTGCTTAGAACACTTACATTAGCCTACAGTGGGGCAAAATCATCTAATACAAAGCCTATTTCATAATAAAATGCTGAATATCTCATGTAATTTATTAAATATTATACTAAAAGTACAAATCAGAATGGTTGTACAGGTACTTGAAGCACAGTTTCTAGTGAGTGCATATTGTTTTCATACCACTATAAAGTTGAAAAATCATAAGTTGAATCAACGTTAAATCAGAGGTCATTTGTGTATGTCCAAAGACTTACACATAAGTTTCATATCTAATATCTCCAAACTGGAAACAGCCCCAAATGTCCATCAATAGCTAAATGGGCAAACAAATTTTGGTACAGTCAAACAATGGAATATTACTTAGTAACTGATACTCGCAACAACATGAATGAATCTCACAACATAGCTGAATAAAGAAAGCCAAAAGAAGAGTATCTATACTATATGATTCCAATTACATAAATAAGATTCTAGGAAATGCAAGCTAATCTGTAGAGATAGATAGTAGATAGTGTCACCTGAGGACACAGAAGGGGATTACAAACAGGTATAAGAAACCTTTGGCCAGGCATGGTGGCTCACGCCTGTAATCCCAGCACTTTGGGAGGGCACGGTGAGTGGATCACCTGAGGTCAGGAGTTCAAGGCCAACCTGACAAAAATGACAAAACCCCAACTCTACTGAAAATACAAAATTAGCCGAGTGTGGTGGCAGTTGCCTCTAATCCCAGCTACTCGGGAGGCCGAGGCAGGAGAATCGCTTGAACTGAGGAGGTGGAGGTTGCAGTGAGCCAAGATTGTGCCACTGCACTCCAGCCTGGGTGACAGAGTCAGACTCTGTCTCAAAAAAAAAAAAAAGAAAACTTTTAGGGGTTATGAATATGTTCATTGACTTGATTATGGTGATAGTTTCACAGGAGTATACACATCAAAACATGATATTCTATACTTTAAACATGTTCAGTTTATACTGCATGTCAATTACTTCAATAAAATGGTTTTAAAAATCAGAGAATAGAATTTTCAAAAATGAATGGAGCATCCACTTAAAAAATAATAGCTAATATTTATTGAACATTTACTATATGCCCAGCCCTATGCTAGTTGAGAGTTATTAAATGAAAGACATTTCTTTCCTTCTCCCAGTAGCCTTAGGAGGGAGGTACTACTATTTCCATTAAGTAACTTCCTCAAGTAACTCACTCAAATCACATAGGCCAAATCATAGCAGTAGACGCAAAAACAGAATTAAAACCCGGACCATTTGACTTTACTATCTGCAATCATATCCACTATAAAACCTCGTTCCAGGAGATCTAAAAGGAATTTGCAGTCTAGTAGAGACATGGACACCTCTCCGCAACTTACAAGAGAGTAAATGAAGGTGAGAGAAAAGGAAAATTTGTGAAGATGAACCTATCCTCTCACTAGATTCCAAGATGGAACACTGACCCAGTAGCACTGGCAATGCTCTAGCTGTGGGATCCTGTCAGGCCACTGGGGCAGGGGGAGGAAGGGAAGTCACTCTCCAGACTGAAGGAGGACAAACTATGTGCACTTGGTCCAGGTGAGCTCATCATTCAGGGATCCACATTTTTCTGCCCACGGTAAAGACATTCAGAAACAACTGAGCAAACATTTCATCAATTCCAAAAAAAGCTTTTAACTGAAAACCCTAAGGTTTATAACCTGGGGAAAGTCCTTTCACTGTTCAGAATTCCCATTTCCTCATCTCTAAGATGGGGAAGTGGAAGTAGGTTGTTGTGGTTTTTCCTAGGTTTCACATGCTCTTTCATGCCTGTTTTTATGGTTTTCCAAAAGTGTATAAAGGCTCTGATGAGCATCTATGACATGTCTAGTAGGGTGACTGCTGTCTTAGCAGCTCTGCTGACTACAGGAAAAGGTGGAGAGCCTACAAAGCATCATTAAATAACTAAAAAGAAAATCATTATGTTTGCATGCCTTTATGTTAATAGTTACTTTTCTAAAAGATTATAAAAGTAGTAGACGTTGGCTGCGCGTGGTGGCTCACTCCTGTATTCCCAGCACTTTGGAAGGCCAAGGCGGGCGGATCACCTGAAGTCGTAAGTTTGAGACCAGCCTGGCAAACAGGGTGAAACCCCATCTCCACTAAAAATACAAAAAATTAGCCAGGCTTGGTGGTGCATGGCTGTCCCAGCTACTCAGGAGGCTGAGGCAGGAGAATTGCTTGAACCCAGGAAGCAGAGGTTGCAGTGAGCTGAGATTGCACCACTGCACTCCAGCCTGGGTGACAGAGTGATACTCCATCTCAAAAAAAAAGAGTAATATATGTTAATTATAGACATTTTAGAAAATATAAACTGTGAGGAAAGAGTTAACACAGCAGGTAAGTTTGCATAATCTTGCCGGTCTCCAAGGAATCCATGATTAACCCTTGACCAACCACTGGGAATATAGTCCTTAGAGAGTTCTTTGTGCTACTGATTGGTGATTTTGTTATATACAGCTGGAGCAATGAACCATCCCATACTGGTTTGTCAGGTTGCTTTCCATAAACATCAAGATTGAGGTTTCATTGTTAGGGTCCTGAGTTTTGCTTGCCATGGCTAATTGCATAGCAGGATATACTGTACTTACATGACCAGCTCCTCATAAAAGCCTTGGACTCTGAGATTCAGGCAGGCTTTCATGGGCAAAGATATTCCACACCTGTTCCTGTAGTTAACTGCTTGAGAGGGAGTGCTCCTGTGTAGCCCCAGACAATGAAAGATGTTGGAAACCTGTGTTGAACCTCTCTGGAGCCTGCTGATGTATGTCTTTTTCCTGCTGCTTTTGCTATGTATACTTTGCTATAATAAACCTTAGTAGTGAGTATACAACCTGCCATTGAGTCTTTTTTTTAACGTATTTTTGAGATAGGTGTCACTGTCGCTCAGGCTGGAGTAAAGTTGCGAGATCTTGGCTCACTGCAGCCTCAATCTCCCAGGTTCTAGTGATCCTATTACCTCAGCCTCCTGAGTAGCTGGGAGGTGTGTTCCACCACGCCTGAGTAATTTTTTGTAGAGGCAAGGTTTTGCCATGTTGCCCAGGCTGGCCTTGAACTCCTGGGCTCAAGCAATCTACCCTCCCTGGCGTCCTGAAGTACTGGGATTTCAGACATGAGTCACCACACCCAGCCAACCAGTGAGTCTCGTGAGTTTTTCTGGTGCATTGCTGAAAGAAACGCAAAGTAAAAAGGAAATATAAATGAACCCGTCTCCCTCCATCTAGAGATAACTATTTGGCTAGATATAAAAATAGGTTTTGGCCAGCCAAATTATCTTCTGAAAGTCCTTCTAAATTGTTAGGAAGCAAACAAACTTGCCAATTAAATTGATTATAAAAAGCTGTATTGTGGAGTAAGGATTAAGTTTTATGGAAATCCCATATTAAGACTTAAAAAATAACTTTACTTGGCTTTTGTGACATAGTAATGATTTCATGGATGATTTTGTCCTTAATTTGGAATTTGAAACTTTTTTTCTTTTTGCTCTACACATTCAGAGAAACTTCCCTACTAGCAAACTATAGAAATGATTCCTGAAAGTATAGTCTTGGAATCCAACTTTTAACTTTGATTGATTCCTATGGGAAGAGATAGGAGACTTTAGAAGAATTATATGATATACATTTATAATATACCCCAGGAATAGGTTGTAGTGAAAAACAGAGGCTGCCTGTGCCCGAGAGTTTTGGGAGAGGAATGTGGGGGAGGAAAGTGAACTAAGCTAGCTAGCTTTCCTCACTTTGTAAATTATCCTTCTCTGGCAGCTTCCTGCAGTAACTTTAGTAACTACTAACTTTTATTGAGTACCTACTCTGAGTGAGATACTATTCTAAGCACATGTGTTTTGTTGTTTAAGCTTTACAATAGCCTATTCAGCAAATACTACTATTTTTTCTTTTCTTTTCCTTTTTTTTTTTTTTTAAGACAGGGTACTTTTTTGCCCAGGCTGGAGTGCTGTAGCACAGAAACAGCTCACTGCAGCCTCCACTTACCAGGCTCAAGTGATTCTCCTGCCTCAGTCTCCTGAGTAGCTGAGACTACAGGCATGTGCCACCATACCCAGCTAATTTTTATATTTTTTGTAGAGACAGGGTTTTGCCATGTTGCCCAGGCAGGTCTTGAACTCCTAAGCTCAAGAGATCCACCTGCCTCAGCCTCCCAGAGTGCTGGGATTACAGGTGTGAGCCACTGTGCCTGGCCAAATATTGCCATTTTCTCCCTTACACAAATGAAGAAACCAAGGCTAAGCATAATTAAGTAAAAGTTCATGATGCTAGTAAGTGGGTTGGCCTGGGACTTAAACTGGAACCCAGACGGTCAATTGCTATATTTCAGGTCCCTTGATAGCTATTTAAATATGATGTCACTGGCATCATATTTAAATAGCTATCAAGGGACCTGAAATAGGTTTTAGAGTTGGGTTTTGATCAGTTAGGGTTCTCCAGAGAAACTGAACACATAGGGATACACACACATACATTCAGATTTATTTTAAGGAATTGACTAACCCACTTGTGGGGATTGGTAAGTCTGGAATCTGCAGAGCAGGCCAGCTTGCCAGAATTTCAGGGAAGAGTTAGTGTTGCCATCTTATATTTAAAATCTGCAGTCTGGAAACTCAGGTAGGGTTTCTATATTGCAGACTTGAGGCAGAATTGATTCTTTTCCAGGAAACCTCCGTCTTTGTTCCTAAGGCCTTCAACTGAGTGGATGAGTCAACCCACATTAGGAAGAGTAATTTGCTTTACTCAGAGTCTACTGACTTAAATATTCATCACATCTAAAATAATATCTTCCCAGCAACATCTAGATTAGTGTTGACTGGGCACCCTAGCCTAGCCATATTGACACACAATCAGCCATCATAGGTTTCATTTTTCTTCTTGGAAGAGAAAGGGGAGGATGAATCCCCAAATGCGATTCATTCAAGACTGATAATAACCCCAAGATGAGCCTGCCCCAGGTGAAAAACCAGTCCCGTGTGTTGGCAATCCTTTAGCCACAGCCATGCAAATGTAGCATTGGCCAGAAGAGGGCGCTGCCTCCTACTCGTGTGACTACGTATATGGAAACCAATAGGATGGACGAGATTTGGACGCTACTTTCAATTAATTATTATTTTTTACAGCCTCTGGTTTCACTTAGCATAACCTTTGATAGAATAAATGCCTGCAAAATTTTAGTATCTCGGTGGGACCAAAGCACTCTTTGGCAGTACTCAACATTTATGTTCAATAATGCAGGAAGGGCAGGGTGCAGTGGCTCTCACCTGTAATCCATGCACTTTGAGAGACAAACGCAGAAGGGTTGCTTGAGCCCAGGAGTTCAAGACCAGCCTGAGCAACATAGTGAAACCCCATCTTTTTAAAAAAGTTTAACATAATAATAAGAAGACTTGGAAAGATTTTATCCTTTGGCTTTCCTAGTGTGTTATAGCTGATCTGTTAAGGCAGAGCCCAGTTTTCCCAGATCAGGCAAATGCTGGCTGATGCTGGGAGGAGGAAGGTGGGTTATTTAGAGATTGAGAGAAGACACGAAGAAGAACCCTGGACCTCCAGATAGTTGAGGAATCTTGTAACAAAATACAGAGGACAGGTTTGGAAGGTTGCACTTTGTGTCCAGGTTTGAGAGAATAATACTGCAGACCCCTCTGGCAATACAGCGCTGCCTAACAGAGCAGTTAATCTGATCTGTGAATTCTTAATTGGAGGTGGAAATTCACATAACTATAGTTATTCTTTCCTCATTAATCATTAAAAAGCTCCCTCCTCTGCTTCCGTTTTAATGACAGCCTACGTTTGTGCAGCACTAGTCTTTGTGGAAGGTTGTCCCATCCCACAAGGAACAGAGCAGGTACTAATTATTTCTGATTTCTGATTTACAGTTGAAGAGACACAGAATACATGGTTTGCTTTGGCTTTCCTGTAAGCCAACCCTGGGAGGGGACCAGAAGCCTGGGGCCTGATTTTTACCCTTGTGCTCTTTCTCCTATCAAAAACACATTCACAATTCTCATACACTGTGATTTCTGGTGTCCACTAAAGCTGAGTGTATGCCTACACTGTGACCCAGAAATTCTACTTTTAGAAATCTGGCCAACAGAAATGCATGCACACAACCACCAAAAGACATGTGCAAGACAGTTCATAATTTGTAATAGCCCAAACTGAAGAAAACCCAAAATTCCATCCACATAGAATGAACAAATAAATGGTGGTATTTTTAGATAATAGAATGCCCTATAGTAATGAGAATAAATAAGAAGATCTATGTACATTGTGAATACATTTCACAAATACATTATACATAAAGTTCAAAAGCAGGCAAAATTAATATAAAGTTTTAGAATTTAGATTAGTGGTGATAACCCACAGAATTAGTAACTGGAAGGGGAATGAGGGTGTTTTTTAGGGTGTTGCTAATGTTCTACTTCTTGACTTATGTAATGGGTTCACTTTGTACAAATTCATGAACTTATGCACTGACGATGTGTGATCTTTGATGTATACATGTTACACTTCAGTCAAAAGTTTTTTAAAATCCTGGTTTACACAAATTACTTTTACATGAGAAGACTTTAATTCTACTGAAACTTAGCTCATCCCTGCTTTAAGAAGCAGCAGCCTTGTTTACTGTTCTTCTCTGACAGCATACCAGCGTTCCCTCAAGACTTTCTGAAGGGTTGTGAGAGCAAGTCAACATCTGCCATTGCATTTTGAGTGCAAGAATACATTTCAGGGGAGCTGCCACACAGGAAGTTCATCCTCTGCCTTTAATACTACAAACATATGCTCTTTCTGTGTGTCCAGAAAGTAAGGAAGGAGAGGCTGGGCGTGGTGGCTCATGCCTGTAATCCTAGCATTTTGGGAGGCTGAGGCAGGCAGATCTCCTGAGGTGGGGAGTTCAAGACCAGCCTGACCAACATGGAGAAACCCTGGTATTACTAAAAATACAAAATTAGCTGGGCATGGTGGTACACGCCTGTAAGCCTAGTTACTTGGGAGGCTGAGGCAGGAGAATCGCTTGAACCCGGGCATCAGAGGTTGCAGTGAGCTGAGATCTTGCCATTGCACTCCAGCCTGGGCAACAGGAGTGAAACTCTACCTCAAAAAAAAAAAAAGTATAACTCAATCAAGATCGTTGCAGGTGGAAAAAAGTAAAAAAAAAGAAAGAAAAAAAGAAAAAAGAAAGGAAGAAGACAATTTCTAAGTGGGGCAGGCCAGATGCATCAAACATCCACACAAATGGCAAAGCTCAGAACTCACTACAGTCTCGACCTCCTGGACTCTTGAATAGCTGGGACTACAGGTACATGCCACCACACCTGACTCATTTGTAAATGTTTTTGTAGATTCAAGGTTGCACTATGTTTCCCAGGCTGGTTTTGAACTCCTGGGCTCAAGTGGTCCTTCTGTGTCAGCTGCCCAAAGTGTTGGGATTACAGGTCTGAGCCACCACGCTGGCCCATATTCCATTTTTAACAGCTAATGGCACTAGTACTATCTTCAGGAAAAGCAAGAAACCCAACTCGTGCATCCTAAAGGTGCAGATTGTACCTCCAGAGAAGAGGGATGTGAAAAATGGAGCAGCAAACTAAAGCTGCTCAAAACTCCAGGGCAAGGCACAATGAAGTCATAAATGGAACCAGATTTCCTGTTTCCCAAAGTACACCTGTTCCTCATTAGCCCTTACTGCTTCTTGCAGGACCAGTGGGCTTGAAAATATTAAAGGACAAAAGTATAACATATTCAATCAGGGGTTGGCTGTCTCTGTTCATGGCTACACACCACACACACACACACACACATGCACATGTACACGTGCATATATAGATATGCACACACATGTGCTCACACATACACATACATAATGCACACACATGGACATATACAGGAAACATACACAGACATGCACACACATACACATGCACACACACATGCACACACACACACATGCACATACACACACACACTCCCTTGGCCCCTCTGCTGCTTTGGACCGCCCCCGCCACTTGAGCTCCTTATATCTTCCATCTCATTGATTCTCTCCCACCCCGCAAGCAAGAGTAAAAATCCTGAAAAACATTGCTAGAAATCCAGTTGCATACTTTCTCCAGCTAGATAGCTTTTGAAGGAGTTGACCCCTTTTCTTTCCTCCCAGTGGTCAGAGGGACATGGGATACGTGTCTGTAGTTTTTGCACCTCTCCATGATGGGGCAGTGGGACTGGTTTCAGAACTCTGGCAGGCTGTACAAACACAGGTGTGTTTGCAACCACAACTGCAGGCTCATAGTGTGAGAACTGGGGGAGCCTGCTATTCTGCCACAGGCTAAAGGAGTTCTGAGGACAGAAGAGATACCTCGGGGTCTGCTGGCATAATTGGCACCCAACACCAGGAATTTTCTGGCAGTGGTAATAATTCAAAGCCAGGTAGATGGCACAATGACATACACAAAGGTTTCCATTATAGCATTGTCGTCAAAGAGAAAAAGAGAAACAACAAAAACATCTAGCAAACAGGAAGTGTTAAATTATATATAATTGCCCAGGCATGATGGCTCATGCCTGTAATCCCAGCACTTTGGGAGGCCAAGGTGGACAGATCACTTGAGGTCAGGAGTTGGAGACCAACCTGGCCAACATGGTGAAACCCCATCTCTACTAAAATACAAAAATTAGCTGGGCATGCTGGCACATGCCTGTAATCTCAGCTACTCGGGAGGCTGAGGCAGGAGGAGAATCGCTTGAACTCAGGAGGCAGAGGTTGCAGTGAACCAAGATCGTGCTGCTGCACTCCAGCCTGGGTGACAGAGTGAGATTCTGTCTCAAAAAAAAAAAAAAAAAATATATATATATATAAAAAAAAAAAAAAAAACAAACACCCACAAATATATATATATGTGTGTGTGTATATATATATATTTATTTATTTATACATATATACCATGGATTATCACACAGCTGTGAAAAGGAATGAGGCAGCTCTATATTAACCACCATGGAAAGAAGTCCAACCTATATTGTCAATGATAAAGGCAAGCTGGAGAAAATACATATAGCATGATCCCACGTATGAATTAAAACAATTTGTATGCACACACACACACTGTTTCACAAGTTAGGCTTGATAAAATGATAGAAAAACTTCTAGGCAGAAGGAGGAGGAGGAGGAAGAGGAGGAGGGGAGGGGGAGGAAGGTCTTGAAGGATACACACTTAACTATTATCAAGTTATTTCTGGGCAAGGGAGTGGAAGTGGCGGTTGGTGAGGAGAACTTTCCAATTTTGCCATATTTATTTCTCTGTTATTTAGGATGTACCAGTAGTGCTTCCCTATAAAAACTATGGGGATGGAGTATGGAGGAGGCATGGAGGCACATTTGATGGCGATGTTAGCACAGCCAGAGGCTTCTGGGAGTCAGGGCCAAGGGTGGGAAGCAGACGAAGAGTTGTGGGAGAAGCTCTAAGCTCCTGACCATGCACGACATTGTCCTTTTCTTGTTCTGTTTTCCCTTTCCTGGGACTCCTTTCAAACCCAGGCAGCTAGAGAAGAACCCCTCCCTAGGAAAACCCAGAGAGGATGGCTAGGCTTGGCCCCAGGCCTTAGCAAGAAACCTCTTCTTTCCCCTAGTGCCCATTTCCTTGGTTTTTTGTTTGTTTGTTTTTTATTTTTTGTTTTTTTGAGACAGAGTCATACCTTGTCACCCATACTGAGTACAATGGTGCAATCACAGCCCACTGCAGCCTCGAACTCTTGGGCTCAACAGATCCTTCCACCTCAGTCTCCTGAGTAGCTGGCACTACAGGCACGCAATGAGACCCCATCTCTACAAAAAATAAAAATTATCCAGGTGAGGTGGTACGTGGTAATGTGTTGTGCTACTATATTACAATAGCTCTGATGTCACTAGGCAACATAGTGAGACCTCAAACTCCTAGATGCAAGTGATCCTCCTTCCTCAGCCTCCCAAAATGCTGGGATTACAGGCACATGCCATCTTTCCCAGCCTTCCTTGGGGGTCTCTTCCTGGGCCTTTTGCTATCACAGCAAACAATCTCCAGGGGCTGAGGAAAAGAGGCTACAATAATTTGGCTGGTTTCCAATGGAGACCACTGTTGTTTTCTACCCAGACTCCTTAGAATTGCCTGGGGAGCTTTAAAAAAATATGTAAGCCTCACTTACAGTCATGCATCACTTATAAGAGACAGGGATGTGTTTTCAGAAATGCATTGTTAGGAGATTTCACCATTAAATGAACATCACAGAGTGTATTTACCTGAACTTAGATGATATCGCCTACTAAACAGCTAAGATATACTATAAAGCCTATTCTTGCTTCTAAGCTATAAACCTGTACAACATGTTACAGTACTGAACACTGTGGGCAATCCTAACACGACGGTCTTTGTGTATCTACACACATCTAAACATAGAAAAGGTAATGTGTTGTGCTACTACATTACAATAGCTATGACAACATAGGCAATAGGAATCTTTCAGCTCCATTATAATCTTATGAGATAACCATTGTATATGTACTTCATTGTTAACCGAGATGTCATTTACGCTGCTTAGTGTATAGACATATACAATGAAGTATAGAATAAAAGTTTTATTTTAGCAAATATCCAGTGCTGGATAAATAGAACATTTCTTTTATTCTGGAATGAGTGTAAATTGGTTAGGAACATTTTGAAAAGCAATTTGACAATACCAAATTCTAAAATATATATATATATTTTTTGTTTTTTTTTTTGAGATGGGGTCTCGCTCTGTCACTCAGGCTGGAGTACAGTGGCATGATCATGGCTCGCTACAGCCTCGACCTCCTAGGGTCAAATGACCCTCTTACCTCAGCCTCCTGAGTAGCTGAGACTACAGTCACATGCCATGATGCCCCACTAATTTTTGTGTGTGTGTGTGTGTGTAGAGATGGGGTTTTACCATGTTGGGCCAGGCTGGTCTTGAACTCCTGGCCTCAAGCAATCCTTCCACCTCAGCCTCCCAAAGTGCTGGGATTACAGGCATAAGCCCTCTTGCCCAGCCAAAAATATTTTTATACCATTTTGTTCAGCAATAAAGCTTCTCAGAATTTGTCCTAAGGAAATATTTTTTAAAGAAAAGGTGTGTGACAGTTGCTCTCATGATTCCTTTTATAATTGCTAAACGTTGGAAACAAATTAAACCTTCAACAAATGGCAGGTCTTACTACATTAGACATTTTGCAGCAATTAAAACTGTAATGAAGGCCGGGCACGGTGGCTCATGCCTATAATCCCAGCACTTTGGGAGGCCAAGGCGGGTAGATCACGAGGTCAAGAGATTGAGACCATCCTGGTCAACAAGGTGAAACCCCATCTCTACTAAAAATACAAAAATTAGCTGGGCATGATGGTGCGTGCCTGTAGTCCCAGCTACTCGGGAGGCTGAGGCAGGAGAATTGCTTGAACCCAGGAGACGGAGGTTGCGGTGAGGTGAGATCGCGCCATTGCACTCCAGTCTGGCAACAACAGTGAAACTCCGTCTCAAAACAAACAAACAAACAAACAAAAAACTGTAATGAAAATTTGTAACAATATGTAAAATATCCTGACAATGAACTTATAACTTTTTTTGTTTTACTTAAGTGCTTTTGTGCTTTTATGAAAGTTCATTTCAAAGGAAAGAATCAGCATGCTTAGGCCTCAACCCAGTCTAATTAAATCGAAACTCGGGGAGTAGGTACTGGTCATTGGTATTTATTATTTATTTATTTGTTTATTTATTTATTTATTTATTTTTGAGATGGAGGCTCACTCTGTTGCCCAAGCTGGAGTGCAATGGCGTGATCTCTCAGCTCACTGCAACCTCTGCCTCTTGGGTTCAAGCAATTCTCATGCCTCAGCCTCCAGAGTAGCTGGGATTATAGGTGCCTACCACCATGCCAGGCTTAATTTTTTGGTATTTTTAGTAGAGATGGGGTGTCACCATGTTGGCCAGCTGGTCTTGAACTCCTGACAGCAAGTAATCTGTCCACCTCAGCCTCCCAAAGTGCTTGGATTACAGGTGTCAGTCACTGGACCCAGCCCTATTTATTTTTTAAAAATTTGTTGCCAGGCGCGGTGGATCACGCCTGTAACCCCAGCATTTTGGGAGGCCGAGGAGGGCAGATCATGAGGTCAGGAAATCGAGACCATCCTCGCTAACACAGCAAAAACCCATCTCTACTAAA